CTCTCAAATCATAAAGGATTAAGCTGAATTTAACCTGCTGGGCTGTCTGGATTCCATACACTCCTCTCTGCAGGAGACAGAAGCAGGAGAACAAAATTGCATCGTATTGTTTCACTCTTCGGATACGTCGAACAAGCTTCTACAACACCTCTCCTACAGAGAGAGATGTTTATCTTATTTATTTTATTTAGCATATGGCATCTACAGAGGTCATGCAGTCACTGATATACAAAGAGAGATTTGTAAATTGGAACCATTATGGAAATACAAGCGTTGCCTTTTGGAAGGAACACAGATTTTATTTTTGAATTGGAGACAAGGGCAAAGAATATAGGATACAATCTTTTTTTTTTCCAGTCCTATGTCAAGTTCAGTGGTGGGATTCAAAAATTTTTTACTACCGGTTCTGTGGGCGTGGCTTGGTGGGCAAGGTGTGGCTTGGTGGGCATGGCTTGGCGGGCATGACAGGGGAAGGATACAGTAAAATCTCCATTCCCTCCCCACTCCAGGGGAAGGATACTGCAAAATCCCCATTTCCTCCTGATCAACTGGGATTTGGGTGGCAGAGAATAGATGGGGGCGGGGCCAGTCAGAGGTGGTATTTACCGGTTTTCTGAAACTACTCAAAATTTCTGCTACTGGTTCTCCAGAACTGGTCAGAACCTGCTGAATACCACCTCTGGTCAAGTTAGCAGACAATAGCTGTGTTTGCGCTTTCCCATGAGTAACTGAACTATGGTTTACCTAAATCAATTTTCTGAGTTTGGAAGACACACTGAACTACAAACCACGCAAGCTGGGTTCACATAACTTCCTGTACTAATCCATGGTCATCTTGTTGGTGGTGGGATATAGTTAGAGACATCTTGCATTTGGGAGCATGGGAGACTTTTTCACTGATGAAAAAGCAAGCAAGTGTAAGAAGAAAAATCCTTCTGGGTTCAGCTCCAAGTGGGGAAAAAGACACTGGAAACATGGAGACTGCTTGGAAAGATGGTTTAATGGTGGACAGGATCACATGATTTGAGTTCCTGAACAGAAAAGGGCCAAGACGCAGTGAGTCCCCGGGTTTTATGCCCTCTCTGGCTTTGAACTTCCTGGGGCCCAGAAAGAGTATCCTGATTGGTTGTCAGACTCCCAGGGGGTGGGGGTCTTAGCTAGCCTTGCTAGCTGATGTAATCTTCCCAGGTGCCATGTGGTGAGTTTCTGATGCTAGATGGGTCCTATTGTGTTAGTTTCTGTTGCTAGATGGGTCCTATTGTGTTAGTTTCTGATGCTAGATGGGTCCTATTGTGTTAGTTTCTGTTGCTAGATGGGTCCTATTGTGTTACAGATGATGGTCCATTGACAAAGATTGAGTTTCTGCCTCTGGCCCATTGACAAAGGGTGGGGGGGTGGCAAGAAGGTGGGAGCTGCTTCGTCTTTAAAACATGCGTCTCCATTTCCCATCCAGGGAAACATAATATTCTGCCTTTTTAATATTTCCTAAAATATTTCATTCTTCTAGGAAAGGGATGGGTGCTAACTTCCTACACAAGCTTAAAATATAAATCAGCAGAATAACGCATGCTTTGCCCAGCATAATGTGCTTGAAGGTTTCGTGTAAGCAAAGCTTACTTGTGTGACCAGCATATTTGTGTGCACCAGAAAGAGTTGGCTCTCTGTTTTGGGCTGGTAGCCACACCTAGGAGAGAGCAATTGCCTTGCTCTGCTGCTTCACTCGCTGCAAGCTTCCCTTAGGGCAAATCACCGGCTTCTAAGGCTGGGTCTGAGCAGAATAGGGAAGAGCTGCTCTTCTCCGGAGGCTTTGCAATGCATTTAAATTACAAATACGAGGTTCAAGCAGGAAATGCCACCAGGGCAATCTTTTCTAACTGGAGTTAGGCAGACAGTTGCAAGCATGTTTACAGGGGGAGCAGTGAATTCTAGAATCTTGGTGGGAAAATTTCCCCCTAGGATCACAATTTCTTTTCTTTTATCCTTTCTGTTGCCACGGCAGCCTCGCTGGATCTATGTTGTCCGTTAAGGCAGCAGGTAAGAGCATCCACAATGTTTGACTTAATGCCTCAGCCGCATTCTGTATATAGCTAATGCATGTTTTAGACTTAACTTGCCTCTGCCTTGTAGTATATCAAAAGGAGAAGAAGCCCATTCTGCTATTGCATCACTATCACAGTCTATATCAGCTAGTCCAGTGTTTAGAAGCAGTTGCCGGCTATCTCAACCTGATACAGTTAATAAGCAGTGTAAGCCGTGCTAACTTTCTCAGGTAGTTAGGCTTTCAGTGAGTTCACACATGATGACTTGAGTCAAAAATTAAAATGCCCCCCTCCCATTATGACATTTCTGTAATCTTTGTTCTAGTGCAGGGGTGTCAAACCTGCATTGTCACTGCGTCGTCACGTGACATATCGCAACTTTTCCCCCATTTGCTAAACCTGGCATGGGCGTGGCCAGTGTGTGACGCATCCAGCCCATGGGCCACAAGTTTGACAACTCTGATCTAGTGGTTAAGACATCAGGCTACAAGATGAGAAACTGTGAGTTCTAGTCTCGCCTGTCTGGGTGATTTTGGGTCAGTCACTCCCAGCCCAAACCAACTCACAGATTTCTTACTGTGGGGAAAATAGGAGACGGAAGGAGTGTGTTATGTCCTTATAAGGACATCCGCCCTGATTGGCTGCCAACCATCGGGCGGGAGATTTGAATCCCTGTCAAGGGGCGGTGCGTCTGCCGGGAGCGAATATAAGGAGAGCTCCGGCAGCGCGCCAGCAGTCTTGACTCGTTACTTTGTAATGAATAAAAGTTGCTTTATGTATCGAGCTGGTCCAGTCTTCTTTTCCCTGCGCCGGATCTAACACTGGCGACGAAGGACTAGAGAGAAGAACCTTCACAAGACTCTTGGCACGATCGCCCACCGAACAAAATCACCACACCACAGCGATCTTCCAGAATGGCCACCCCGCAAGCCCCGATGACCGCGCTGAACCCGTTCGACCCATCCCGGGAGAAGTGGAGGTCATACATGGTCCGATTCCGGCAGTTCCTGCGAGGCAATGGATACCAGAACCTCGATGAGGAGAGAAAAAGAGCCCTCTTCCTGGCTCATTGCGGATCGGACGTTCTGGAGATGGCGATTGACCTCGTGGCACCCAGGGACATCGAGGAGATGTCCTGGAACGACCTGCAGGAAGTCCTACAGGAGCACTATGCACCTACAGGCACCCCCATCGCAAACAGGTTCACCTTCCAGCAAAGAAACCAGCGGGAAGGTGAATCCATCAAGGAATTCGTGGCAGCGCTTCGCCAAATCGCTGCCAACTGCGAGTTCGACAATGTGGACAATGCCATCCGGGACCGCATTGTGTTTGGAATGCGAGATGTGGGGCTGCAGAAGAAGTTCCTCAGCCGGAAGAAGATTCCGCTCAAAGATGTCCTCGACGAGGCAACGGCGGCTGAAACGTCTGAGCAAGCAGCCGCCGCGATGGTAAAAGCAAGGGGGATCCATAAGATCCACAAGTCGGGCCCGACCTCATCAGACGAGGCAACTACTCAATCCGAGTCTGATGAGGAAATGGCCGTCCACAAGGTGTCCCGCCCTCCCAGGCGGGAAAACCCACAGCATGGCGACCGGGGAGAGCGATGCGGCAGCTGCAGAGGCGACCACCCCAGGGCAAACTGCAGATGGAGGGACGCGACCTGCCGCCGATGCCTGAAGAGGGGCCACATCGCAGAGGCCTGCAGAGCCACAGATCCAGCCCCGGAACCACCCAGACCACGATTCAGGGAAAATCGAAAAGATAACCAGAGGACATCCAAACGGTCCTCAAACCAGTCCCGGCGCGGGGAGGAGGAATATCCCCGCAACAGAACAGTGCACCAGACCACCACCATTGCTCACACAAGCGACGAGGGAACCACCAAGTTCCACGTGACACTGCTAGCAGAGGGGTCTCCGTGCAAGATGGAGGTAGACTCCGGATCCGCCTACTCCATCATGGACTGGCAGCACCTACAGCAGCTGAACCCGGCATACAAAAGGACCCAGCTGAAAACCCCGAAGGCGAGACTTGTGGACTTCAACGGGAACCCCATTGAAATCCTAGGCAGAGCCACAATCCGGGTGAAGTACAACGACTTCAACGGAAAACTACCCATCACCATCGTGCAGCACAGCCGACCGAACCTGTTGGGTGTGGAGTGGTTCAAGCCGCTGGGACTTTCACTTCAGGGCATCCACGAGATCCGCAGGGACGAACTCGACTCCATCATCGAAGAGTTCAAAGAAGTCTTCGATGGTAAGCTGGGGAAATTTGTGGGGAGGCCAATCTCCTTTAATCTGGACAAGGGAATCACCCCAATCAGGCTCAAGCCCCGCCGAGTTCCATTTGCCCTGCGGCCTAAAGTAGATGAGCAGCTGGATAAGCTGATCGCCCAGGGCGTCCTGGAACCGATCGATCATGCCTCATGGGAGACCCCCATTGTGACCCCACTGAAGCATGATGATGGGTCTGTGCGCATCTGTGCTGACTACCGTTGTACCATCAACAAGGCGTTGGCACAGAGCGCATACCCAGTCCCAGTGGTGCAACATCTGCTGCATTCCCTGGGATCTGGATCAATTTTCGCGAAACTGGACCTGGCCCAGGCTTACCAGCAACTGCCAGTGGATGACAAAACGGCGGAGGCTCAAACAATTGTCACGCACAGAGGGGCATTTAAATGCAACCGCCTCCAATTTGGAGTCAGCGCTGCCCCTGGCATCTTCCAATCCATGATGGAACGCCTTCTCCAAGGCGTTCCAGGGGTGGTGCCTTACTTCGATGATGTGCTCATCTCCGGTGACTCAAGAACCCAACTCCTTGAAAGGCTCAGGCTTGTCCTGCAGCGGTTCAAGGCCAAGGGTTTGAGGGTCAGGCGGGACAAGTGCATCATAGGAGTACAGGAAGTCAAGTTCCTGGGCTTCCTCATTGATAGCACAGGCATCCACCCCACCAAATCAAAAGTGGAAGCAATCCATGAAGCTCCAAGCCCAAAAAACAAAACGGAGCTTCAGGCTTTCCTTGGGTTGCTCAACTTTTACGCCATTTTTTTAAAACAGAAAGCCACAGTTGCTGAGCCACTCCACCGCCTGCTGGGAAAATCGGCTTCCTGGAAGTGGGGCCAGGAAGAGGAAGCGGCATTCCGGGCCATCAAAGGACTATTGACGTCCAAAAGCGTACTCATTCAGTACAGCGAGACGCTTCCCATCAGACTGACCTGCGACGCGTCGCCTTACGGGGTGGGGGCAGTCCTCAGCCACGAACTGCCCAATGGCTCGGAAGCCCCAATCGCGTACTTCTCAAAGACTATGTCTGGCGCAGAACGGAACTATAGCCAGCTGGACAAAGAAGCCCTGGCCATCGTGGCTGGAGTGAAGCGCTTCCACGAATACCTCTACGGAAGAAGCTTCACCATAGTCACAGACCACAAGCCTCTCCTGGGACTCCTCGCAGGCGACCAACCAACCCCGACCTTCATGTCCCCGAGAATGACGAGATGGGCAATCTTCCTAGCGGGCTACTCCTATAGGCTCGTGCACCAGCCAGGCACAGCCATAGGAAACGCCGACGCCCTCAGCAGATGCCCGTCGAAGAAGCCGGTCGAAGACCCAGCCCCCACACTCCACCTACTGCACATTGATGACGACGCCAGCTGCCCGGTGTCATCCGCAGATGTGGCCGTCCACACCCAAAAGGACCCCACACTCCGCACAGTGAAATCCTGGATCCTCAGAGGGTGGCCGTCGGGAAAGCCAGAGGAAAGATTCAGCCCGTTCGCCAGGAAACAGGAGGAGCTGTCCACCATGAAGGGCTGTCTGCTATGGGGAGACAGGGTGCTGATTCCAAGCACTCTGCAACGGCGAACGTTGGAGACCTTGCACAAGGGGCACCCGGGCATCGTCCGCATGAAGGCACTGGCACGGAGTTATGTCTGGTGGCCCTCCATGGACAAAGACATTGAACAATGGGTCTCCAGATGTGACCCGTGCCAAGAAGTTCGCCCAGCGCCGCCGCAATCCGAGGTCGCGAAGTGGGAGACCCCCGGCAACCCCTGGTCGAGGGTCCACATTGACTTCGCGGGTCCGATGCAGGGGCGACACCTCCTCATCGTGGTAGATGCCTTCTCCAAATGGCTCGAGGTGGTGCCCATGGCATCTACCACAACGGATGCGACGATCCGAGCCCTGCGCCGTCTCTTCGCCACTCATGGTCTACCGGATGTGCTGGTCTCAGACAACGGCCCCCAGCTCACATCCTTGACCATGGAATCCTTCCTGGCGGGACTGGGCATCCGCCACGCCCTGTCCGCCCCTTACAGGCCGGCCGGAAACGGACAAGCGGAACGCATGGTCCGACTGACCAAAGAGGCCCTCACCAAGATGGGCCCGGGGGACTGGCAAGAGCGCATAGACAATTTCCTCCTCACCCAGCACATCACGCCACACGCCACCACCCACAAGAGCCCGGCCGAACTGTTGATGGGCAGAAGGTTGAGGTCACCCTTGGACGGCTGCACCCCCAATACAGCCCGGAAGTGACCGCAACCGCCAGCCGCCCGCTTCGCGCCTTCAGCAACGGAGATTCAATTTTCGCGCTGAACTTCAGCGGCTCTCCTAAGTGGCTGAAGGGGAAGATTGCCAGCACAACCGGCCCCAAATCATACATCGTCGAGTTGGAAGATGGACAGTTCGCGAGACGTCACATCGACCAACTCCGAAAAAGGTGGGGGGGAGCGCATGAAAACCAGCCTGACGAGGGAGGCCTACAACACCCCGATGAGGTAGACCTCCAACACCCCAGCGAGGTAGGCCTACCACACCCAGACCCGGTAGGCCTACAACAACCCGGCGAGGTAGGCCTACGACACCCCGACGAGGTAGGCCTACCACACCCCTGCGAGGCAGAGCAGCACCACCCCGTCAAGGTCGGCCCAGCCCACTACCAGATGCTGTCACGCCGGCAGCCCAGCGAGGTAGACCGGGGCCAACCGCACGGAGGATGGCAACAACAACCCAGCCAGGTGGGCACCGGGCACAGCAAGGCCAGGGACCACCAACCCAGCCCGCAGGTAGACCGGGACCTGCCCAGAGGAGGAGCAACGCACCCCACCAGTGACAGCAGCCCATGCCAGCCCAGCCAGGGAGACTGCAGTTCAAGGCGAGTAGACCGGGACCCAGCCAAGACGGGCAACCCACGACCCACGGGCGAGGGTGGCACACTACTCACCGACGTGGGGGACCCCCGCCCATCACAAGAGACAGCCAAGAAACGACACCCCGACCAGGATGGCCCCAGGCACCAACCAACGGTAGACCAGGGACTAGGGGGAAGGGGAAGTCGACAACAACCCGGCCAGGGAGACCTGCACCACCCCGGCAGGGGAGACCTCCGCCGCCCCGCGGAGGTAGCACCGCAACAACACCCCGACCAGGTCGACCACCGCCAGCCAGACAAGGTAGACCGACGCCAGCCCAACCGAGGGGGCCAACGCCACCCCTGCGAGGTCGGACAGCACAACAACAACAACGAGAGCCAGCACCACCCGAACCGAGCGGAACCGCCACCCGAGCGGCAGCAAGCCGGACCGAGACCGCACCACAGCGCCCGGGAGACCAGGGAAGAGCAAGAAATGGACTTACCGAGACTCAGACGCTCTTCCCGGGTCGGAACCGAGCAGCCGAGGCGAGGCGAGAGATCCACAGGACAGGAGGAAGACCACCAGGACCAGCGATCCAAGGTCTGCGGTCCGGCCGGAGGCGCTGGGGGTGGCCCCGCTCACTCGACAGCCGAACCGAGCCCGGTTCCGGAGAGGGAACCAGGAGACGAAAGAGCCCCGTCCTTCCAGGCCGGAGACGGAGGAGAAGTGAGACTGCGCAGGTCAGCTAGGGTGCCGAGGCGTCCGGCGTACCTGCGCGACTACGTAACGTTTGTGAATGAGATTGACATTTCGGACTAAGGGGGGAGGAGTGTTATGTCCTTATAAGGACATCCGCCCTGATTGGCTGCCAACCATCGGGCGGGAGATTTGAATCCCTGTCAAGGGGCGGTGCGTCTGCCGGGAGCGAATATAAGGAGAGCTCCGGCAGCGCGCCAGCAGTCTTGACTCGTTACTTTGTAATGAATAAAAGTTGCTTTATGTATCGAGCTGGTCCAGTCTTCTTTTCCCTGCGCCGGATCTAACAGAGTGCTTTTGCCATATTTAGTCCATTCAAAGGAGGAGATTTAAAATATGTATGTATTTATTGGTAGGCATAACAACCAGAAGATAAACTAAAGTACAACCAAAAATATATCAGGGCAAATGAAATTGGAAAAAAATACATAAGGGAAATAATCAATCAATGTGTGATATTTGTAGAAACAAAAAGTATATCCATAAAATGTTAATATAGAAAACGTGAACCAAAGTGATGCTTTTGCACAGCATCTGGAATGATATTTCATTGCTGTCAGGAAAATCACTATGGTTTCTCTTTGAATCTCATAAATGTTTCACCTGTCAGGTAAGATAAAGCAGGTAGGAAAATTAACCATAAACTCCAAGGGTATACAAGATGCCAGCATTTTGACCCCTTACACAAGGCCATGGTGCAATGAATTATTTCTTATACAGTACTGCAGGTTGTTTTATCTATCTCTATCTCTATCTATCTATCTATCTATCTATCTGGGGGAATCATTTGGGGATGAGGACCACATAGTTGGACCAATTTGGTGGGAACTGTCACCAATAATAGAAGTGTGGGGTGAATTTATTTTTTTATTGTCCAATTTAGAGGTTCCACTCTTCAGCATCTTCAAAATAGTGGGGAATGTGGAAGCCTTTAGCAATCATGTCCCCAGAGAGCTCCACGAGTTGCAAAATGAGGCCTTGAGGATTTCATGTGGCTCTGTCATCAGTTGCTTAAGGTAAATCGCTTGATCTTTTTCAGTTGAGGTTGTCAGAAAAGGCCTCCTTTCTTGATTTAGCCAACTTAATGTTCCTTAGAGGAAGGGGAGGTAAGTGGGAAGCTTCCCCTCTCCCTTTCTGGATACTGAAGCTGATAGCAAAGGTATTTCTACAAGGAACGGTGGTTCCAAAGTATTTAAATGTTAAAATTTGGATTGGGGAGGCAAAAGACTCCATGGTCTTTTGTTGCAGCCCCAGGATAGCTCAAAAATATGCTGCCAAAACTTGGTGGCACATCTTTTAAAAAGAGTAATAAAATACAGTATATTCGGTAAACCTGTTTCTTTAGCACACTGTTTTTTACTTAGAGGGCGAGATTCTCTGCCTGTTTTAAAAGAATGAAATCAGTGTTTTGTGCAAACTGTTCATGAGATTTCAGATATTCGTAAAAGAATGGAAACTCAAAGAGCCCTTTCATGTATCTGTGTTTTTCCTTAGTTGTGTTTTGTTATATTGTATTCTACTTTAGCTTTAAGAAGAAAAGATCTTCTCATTCTCCTTTATTTTATACCTAGCCATCTTGGGTTTTAAAAAAAGGATGAGCCTACTGCTGTGTTTTCTTCTACCCTCTTGCCTACCCTTGAATTCCCCTCCCTGCTTTTCCATTGTTATTCCAGTGCATGCTCAGCTTCACTGGATCTTTCTCTCACCACTAAAGGCATTAAGTCTCTCAGAAGGAGTTCAACCAGATTGACCTTCACCTGCTCATAAGCAGACATTGTTTAACATGCTTCCTATTGAGGCTCTTAACCGCCTCTGATTCTGTAAGTGCTGGGAATCCTTTCAGCTCAATCTGTTGGCCACTAAAGCTCCCAAAGATTTTTCCGTCTGTCTTTGTTTCTATCATTTCCTTTGTTTGCGTTGTTTGATTGATTTTTCAGGCTTACCTGTTTACAAGAAATATACAAAAATCCCCACGGTAGGAGACAAGGAAGGAGCAAGAGAGATGCTCATGGCATACTTCTCCAAACTCAAGGGTCAAGGTGCTGGCATCTTGTATTCCAAAAATAAAGTATCATTGCTTTACACTCTGCTTGCAAGTGCTGCTGATTTCTATAAAAGTCCTGGAGGTTTCACTGAGGTTTTCCTGTTATTTCATGACAGTCCACCCATTCAGCTCCACTGAAATCAGGGAATCATAGCAATAGCATTTAGACTTATATACTGCTTCACAGTGCTTTACAGCCCTCTCTAAGTGGTTTACAGAGTCAGCCTATTGCCCCCAACAACCTGGGTCATCATTTTACCCATCTTGAAAGGATGGAAGGCTGAGCCAACTTTGAGCTGGTCAGGATCGAACTGCTGCCAGCAGTCAGCAGAAATAGCCTGTAGTGCTGCATTCTAACCATTGCACCACCACAGCTCAGATAGTTAGACTTAAGACATCCAGATGCCATATAACACCTAGACTATCACAGGAATGACTCCATCTATGCCTTTGCCTTTCCACTCTCCCCCTGCTGCAGTTTCCTTCCAGGGTAAAGGTGCAGGATTTTATGTAGGGATCGGAGCCTGCAATGTCACCATAGTAAGGAGTGGAAGCACTTTAGTTAATGGGACCTACATTCATGATGCCACTTCTGTAGATTTTGGTATTCCAAAATGGCTCTTGCTTTTTCATACGCTACGACCTGCAAGATTGTGTTGACAGTTTTAGTCAGGGATGGGATTTTTTTTTTTAATTTGATTTATATGCCGCCCTTCTCCGGAGACTCAGGGAGGCTTACAATGTGTTAAGCAATAGCCTTCATACTTTTGTATATTTTATACAAAGTCAGCTTATTGCCCCCACAAACTGGGTCCTCATTTCACCTACCTTAGAAAGGATGGAAGGCTGAGTCAACTTTGAGCCTTGGAGAGATTCGAACCAGCAGTAATTGCAAGCAGCTGTGTTAATAACAGGGTGCTTAGACCACTGTACTATCAAGGCTCTTTCACTGTACTATCAAGGATTCAGCCGGTTTAGACTGGTTTGGGAGAACCAGATGTTAATTTTAATCTGGTTCGCCGAACCGATTGTTCCAAGGACTGGCTGACCCCGCCCACTCCACCTCGCCCCTCCCTGGAGTCTCCACATGGCCCATTTTGGATGCCAGGTAAGTGCAGGGCATGCGCAGAGGCTCTGGGAGGGTGAAAAATGGGCCTACTGGAAGTCTGGAAACGGGCCTATTTCCGGCCTCTGGAGTGCTCCGGTGCCTGGGGGAGGCCATTTTTGCCCTCCTGGAGGGTCCAGAAAGCCTCTGGAGCCTGGGGAGGGCAAAAATTCCCCCCCTGCTGTGGTGCAGTAGGCTAAGTAGGCCACACCCCCATGGCCATGCCCCCCAGCACCCGGGCAGTGAACCAGTTGCTGAAATTTTTCAATTCCACTCCTGGTTTTAGTTGAGCACTATTCTGTTTGTGGACACGAACAGACATCTTCTTACCAAACTTCATAGATCCAGTTTTGTGGCTTATTTAGCACCACTGATTAGGCAGTTAAAGCCTGCTCCTCAGCCCAGCTGTCCCCCCAAAAAACAGCCTTCACTGAAACAATACTTTGTCAGTATGCTTTTCTTTCGACTTTTGCTTAAAAAGTACTGAGAAGGCATTAGTACAGGTGGGGCAGTTGTTGGGGCATAAGTTGAGGACTTATGACCACAATTAAGCTCAAAATTTCTGCTGTTAAGTTGCGCCTGATTTTATGATATTTTTGCCACAGGTGTTAAGCGAAGCATGCAGACATTAGGCAAATCTGGCTCCCCCCCCATTGACTTTGCTCATCAGAAGTCAGCTGGGAAGTTTACAAATGGTGATCATATGACCCCGGGACCTGCAACTGTCATAAATACATGCCAGATGCCAAGTGCCCGAATTCTGAGATGCTGCAATGAACATTAATTTGAAAAGTGGACATATGTCACTTTTTTCAATGGTGTTGCAACTTCAAATGGTCACTCAGCGAACGATTGCAAGTCAAGGACTACTTCTGCAACAGCTGGATTATGGACAGTCTTCACAAAGCAAAGCTCAAAGGCTTTTATGGACATAGAACGTGGTTTACAAAAATACGATTATATACACTGGTAGCATAAAACAAAAAACAAAAAGTGCCAGATCAAAATACATGATTTCAACCCCTTCTAGATGGCAGTCGAGAGGAAGCTCGCCAACACCAAAGGCAATTTGTTCCATACGGTATATAAACCCTGCCATGGAAAAATGATGGTCATATTATAATTATTTCTGTTGCTGAAGCTATTTTTTGCTTGTCTTTGTTGTTGTGTTTCCTTTTTTTATGTTCTAATTGCTCTGTAGGCAGCTCAGAGAATTAATGTTATTCAGTGATTCAGATGTACGGATGGCTTCCTTTGAAATGAATTCGGAAGTGACACTTGTTCCTGATTGCTTCAGCCTTTGATCCATCCAGCTGTGGCTTGATCCAGAGAGATGGGACTTTTCAGTGGCTGCCCTCAGCTCTGCACTCCCTTCCAAGGGGGTGGGGGCGTTATTTCCCTTATTAATAATCTTTAACTAATTAAAGACTTTAACTTTTGGAAGACTTTGATAGTATAATTTTTATCAGCATGTTTACTGTTCTTTTTCTGTTAGTTTAGTCAGTCAGAGATTTTACTGATCTCATATCTAGAATTCTAAGATGATTGGTGACATATAGATATTAAATAATACATAACATGTAACATGTAACTTTAGTTTACCCACAAACTGGCAACCCTCCAGATACATGGACTTCAACTCCCAGAATTCCCTAGCAACTGTGGTTCTTACTGAGGATTCTAGATTTATAGTCCATGCATCAGAGGGATGCCCCATTTCAAATATGCTATGATGATAGGATGAATAAATAATTATATGGCATATTTTTGCAATGCATGCAATAGTGGAAGATTACATTTGTTTTCCTAATAAAGTAGCAAAATCTTCTTGGAATTATACAAAAATTGTGATTTCATTCTGTATAACAAGATTCTTTGAAGCCTATTTAAAAAAAAAAAACTCTCCTTTCCTGATGTTCTTCTTGCTTGATTCAGCCCAGGGGTGTTCTCTAAATTAAGTTTTGACAATAATTTGAGGGAGGAGGTGCATAAAGAAAATGGACTCTCTCTTTTTAATTTTTGACTTTGGAAGGAATATTTGGGATATACATCCGGGGCAGGTCAATAAGGTGCATTTGCAAAGATGACGATGATGATGATTTCACTGTCAAAATTAGCACTGTTATTGTCAGGATCAATCACTCTGATTAATGAACAGCTTAGCTTTACCTTTGCCACTGACTCCATGGAGTGTCTTCTCTCATACCGTGCACATATAACATCTCTGCCAAAAAGGTTAATTACAGCTCCTTGAGCCAAGTGGGTATCATGTGCCTCGGAAATCAGGAGATTCAGGCAGTTCAAATGAGTATAAAGATTTATTGCAAGCTTAAGATCTCCACAAGAATCTGACCAACTAACGATCAAGGGAAAGTAGCAGGAGTTAAGAAAGGAATTCAAGATGGCCTGGACTTAGATCTCTTGTGAGAGTGCAGAGACTCATGACTGATAACGTGTTTGACCCCGCCCTAGGGCTCAGCCTGGCCATCTCTTGCAAGTGGCTTCCTATTCCCCATTTTCCTCAAATGGAAGCAGAGATTTCTTCAGGAAAAAAGCAGCTGTTTGATTATTTTCAATTTTAAGCACTGAACAAAGTTAACTGCTTTGCTCAGACTCTTCTTTCACCCCATTGTGTTGTGTGCGTAAGTGTGTATGTGTGTGTGAAGTGCCTCTGAGCCTCCTCCTGAATGTTGATTTAAAAATTGCTCACAAAACATCCAGCTCCAGTGTGCATAAAAGGCTAAAATCACATGATGTTGGAGGTTAAATGAAGGAAAGAAAATACAAGTAATTCTAGGAAAGGTGCCTTCTCTGCTGTAGTGGATCTCCTGAAATTCAAATGGCCCCCCAGCCTTGAAGATCTGGCATCTCCCTGAGCATTGGATGTCCTTTGGAATTGAAATATGTATAGTTTGGCTCAGTTATGCTGTCTTGTGGTGTGTCTTTCTGTAACCACTTCATGTGGACCACTCAGAGACCAAACCAATTAGATAATCTTTTCTGCCAGAGCCACAGTCTGAGAAGTGGCTTCTGGCCCATCATCTCTCATCCACTTCTTCCTCTACTGGGGAAGGGATAGGAGTTGCTCCAAAATTATTAGGAGTCCTTTTATGCATTTCCAACTTTGGCCATTGTTGGCAAAGCTCATGGAGACAGTTGCAATGTTTCTGATACTCTGACTATGTATTCCGTAAGTGACAGCGTGGCTTATCTGAGCTGGCTTTAACAGTTCCCCCTTCCTATCTCCTTCAAGCCTTTTGCTTGGTCCGTCTATTCCCCTCTCCCCCCGCCCCCCAGGATTCCCTGTTGCTTTCAGTCTCAGCAGTGCAAGGGCCTACTTTTCTCAGATCTTCATCTATTTGGCTTCAGGCACTCGTTTTTTCCTCTATACTCAAGAACATCTCTAATGAGGTCAAAAACTTCCCCCTGCTCCAAAGCTACTTTGAATGCTAACACAGAAAGCCCTTGTTTGATCTCACAAGTCCCATGAATCTGCATTAGTTCAGCGGGCGTTATCGTGGGCTGCAGATTAGAGATATGATTCAATCAATCCTAGGATTAGAAGAACTTGGGTTAAGAGGTTACTACAGACAACATTTTCATCTAGACAGTACCCTGAAAGAACAGGCTTGCCCATTATCTGGGGAAGTAGTTTGGACAGCGGTCGCTGCTTCTCCTAAAAATGAGCATCCTTCATATTTGAGTTTTTGGGTGAGAGAAGGAAGGTGTTTTTAACGTGTTAGGGCAGGTGGGTGGACTATCTACATACTTTGTTTTTGAGTCCCTGATAAAAGAAGGGGGAGGGAGAAAAGACATTGGGAAGACTTGGTTGGGGTCAGGCAACATGTTAGAGCAGTGCCAGAGACAAGGGGGGAAGGCAGAGAAGATTGGATGAGTGGGTGGTATGCTGGAGCAACTGCTGATTAAATGGAAGTTGAGAAAATGCCTGGCCAAGTCCAGCAGTGCTCTGGGTCAGAAGCTGAGAGAGAAAGGAGGAAAAGAGATATGGAAAGTACTGTGAAGGGAAAACCCCATGGATTTTAACTCTTAGTGCACCTCTCTTTCTCTCCCCACCCCATTAAATGTATTCGTTTCCTTCTTTTATTTTCCCTTTCCAAAAGGTTTGCCCGAGAAATAGGGTAAGAAATCACAAATTCTCTCCTCCAGCTTTCCCCCCACCCCCTCGATCTAGTTCAAAAGCTCACCCCTACCCACCACCAATTTTGCATAAGGGTCAATGAAAAAATATGCCCTAGTTTTGAAAATATCCTGGATAAATTAATATAGAATAGAATAGAATAGAATAGAATAGAATAGAATAGAATAGAATAGAATAGAATAGAATAGAAATAGAAATAGAAATAGAAAAGAAATAGAAATAGAAATAGAAATAGAATAGAATAGAAATAGAAATAGAAATAGAATAGAAATAGAATAGAATAGAATAGAATAGAATAGAAATAGAATAGAATAGAATAGAATAGAATAGAATAGAAATAGAATAGAATAGAATAGAAATAGAAACAGAAACAGAAACAGAAACAGAATAGAAATAGAAATAGAATAGAAATAGAAATAGAAATAGAATAGAATAGAAATAGAATAGAAATAGAATAGAATAGAATAGAATAGAATAGAAATAGAAATAGAAATAGAAATAGAAATTAGAATAGAATATAGAATAGAATAGAATAGAATATAGAATAGAATAGAATAGAATAGAATAGAAATAGAATAGAAATAGAATAGAATAGAATAGAAATAGAATAGAATAGAATAGAATAGAAATAGAAATAGAAATAGAATAGAATAGAATAGAAATAGAAATAGAAATAGAAATAGAAATAGAATAGAATAGAAATAGAAATAGAATAGAAATAGAATAGAATAGAATAGAATAGAATAGAAATAGAAATAGAAATAGAAATAGAAATAGAAATAGAAATTAGAATAGAATATAGAATAGAACAGAATAGAATAGAATAGAATAGAATAGTTGGAAGGGACTTTGTAGGTCATCTAGCCCAATCCCCTGTTCCAGCAGGAGACCCTATACAATTTCTGACAGATGGCTGTCAAGTCTCTTCTTGAAAGCTTCCAGTGATGAAGCTCCCACAATGTCTGAAGGCAACTTCTGTTCCATTGGTTGATTGCTCTCACGGTCAGAAAATATCTCCTTATTTCAAGGTTGAATCTCTCCTTGATCAGTTTCCATCCATTATTCCTTCTCTGGCCTCCAGATGCTTTGGAAAATAGGTTGACCCCTTCCTCTCTATGGCAGCCCCTCAAATATTGGAACACTGCTATCATGTCTCCCCTGGTCCTTCTCTTCACTAGACTAGCCATGCCCAATTTCTGCAAATTAAAGTTTTAAAGGATGTGAAGGCAAGTAGATTAGAGTGTGTGTGTGTGGTCATTTACTTTCTCATCCTCTCTCCCCTTAGTGGTGGGATTCAAAATTTTTTACTACCAGTTCTGTGGGCGTGGCTTGGTGGGCGTGGCAGGGGAAGGATACTGTAAAATCTCCATTCCCACCCCACTCCAGGGGAAGGTTACTGCAAAATCCCCATTTCCTCCCGATCAGCTGGGACTCAGGAGGTAGAGAATAGATGGGGGTGGGGCCAGTCTGAGGTGGTATTTACCAGTTCTCCAAACTACTCAAAATTTCTGCTACCGGTTCTTAGGAACCTGCTGAACCTGCTGAAACCCACTTCTGCCCCTTAGATAGAAAGTCAGTAGTAACCAAAGATATAAAATTGAACAGCATCCTGATCTGGGCATTTCTACGCCACTCGAGCCACTTCCACAACCAAGAAGTTTCTCTCCTAGAGGAAATTGTCAGTATAGATGATTGTCAACTTTCAGCTACCGCAACATTCCAGGTGAAGTCAGGCTGCTGAGTCTCAGATCTCAGCCTCTCGAGAAGTTCATCCAAGGACTTTTCTAAGAAAAGAATAAAAGGCAAGGCTGGTTCAATGTGACCATCTCTGAATTTAAGAGCTTCATCACAAAGAAGATAATTCATGTGCACAAATTCTCTTATGCACAAGTGTGGGAATAAGGAGATATAGTTGAAAACGCTTGCTGAGGGATCAGGTTTTGGGATAGGTGGAGTTCAAACTGATGCTGTCAAACAACTATCTGTGGAAGACAATATTTATAACTCAGGGTTGAACTGCGAGGTCCTTGGTGCTCTCTGAGCTTGGTTGTTTTCTTCCAGATGTTTCATTACCCAAACTAAGTAACATTGTCGATGCTGATGACCATTTCACCTCGATACCGATGATGTGACCTTCCAGTGGAAATAACCAGTGATCTTACAACACTTGTCCACTAAAACTCTGGCGGGGGCAGTTGGGATATTCCTGATGATAGTTCCTGTTATGTTGTTTCTTACTGAGTTCTTAAGAATCCAGAGTAGGTTGTAATGTAGGATTCTTCATTACACAATAGGTTTAGAAAAACCATTCTCACTGTTCTCCAGTTTGTCTCCTCTTCTAAAATCTTCCTTCTTCCTGTCTTGGAAGTTGCAGGCTGCATTGGAACCTTCTCCAGACCAGGACCATTCTAAACAATCCCACAATCCGATGCCATTGGTATGCAACGCAGCAGATACCGACACAAAGCGTCCCTTTGCAAATTGGGTTCACTATAGATGACCATAAAGCCGTGCTTTGGCTATCCATTTTGGTATAATATTATTCATGTAACTCATAGCTGCAGTCACCACATTTGCCAAGGGAACTATGTGCAGCATCTCTCTATATAGCAGGGCCAACCTGTGACATGGTCCTTCACCACTGGAAATATTAAAACCAGTGGTGGGATTCAAACTTTGTTACTAC